AATGTAAATTTATGTTTGCGTCCGAGCGATTTATCATCTCTCTCGCACCATTTTTCCACTGCTATCCCGTTAGCTTCGGCTTTATTTATGACTCCGGCTTTCTTGCAGCACAGTTTACAGTTATTATTAAATATTTTTTTTTTTTTTTTTTTTTTTTGCGGAATGGGCGGCCAGTGCCCCTCTGCAGTGGCAGTGCAGCAATCCGGATTTTGCAAACCATATCGAATCGCTTTTGCATTTCTTTTTCGATGGCGCCATATGTGCTACACTTTCAGCAGATAATACGGGCTTTTTTCTTTTTTTTTGTGTCATTTTGTTCAGTCACTGCCGGCACTGAACCGTATTAAGCATAAATCTGGAGTTTATTGGAGGGATTTAAGGGATTTAAAGCAAAGTATTTTCTGTGTAATCATCGTAACTTTAGGAATGTTTTTACCCCGCGATCTACAAACGACGGCGAGGAAGCAATTAATTTGCCACCACTATCATGTAACAGAAATGGGAACCTATTTACAAATCCCCTAGAATCACTTTAATGGCATTTGACACTTGATGCCCTGTAGATAACTTTCCTTAAATGCTTTTGAAATGAAATCGGACTGAATAAACTATTCTTGGAAACAAATTATATCCGTAATAGCGAGTGGATTGATTACAAGGGTATTTGCGGATTCGTTACGCAACCAGGCGCCCCAGCCTTTATTTTTTTAATGATTTTTCCTGCTGTTGTTTTAATTTATATTTCTTATGGCAGTTTGCTGGCTTGCTTGCTGGTTTTTTTTCTTGCCCGTAATCGCTTGCACATTGAGTGCGAATTAAGGCAATTTCTTTGGTGGCGTGTTTGATGTTTTCTTTCCACAATTTGCTTTTGTTTAAGCCGGGTGAAACTAGGAAGAGAAAGGGCCAGCAGTTCCTGCGATTGTCTTGTGCCAAAAACCAAAAAGGCAACCAGTGAGAGGGTAACGAATATAAAGTTAGCCACAACACGGCCCAGTCAGCGACCAAAGGCCACGACAAATCGAACCTCGGGGGCATTGGTTTGCAATGGATTGGAATGATTATTGCTCTAGCTCTGGCTCTGGCTCTGACGCTAACGCTGACTCTGTGGGATAATTGTGATTATCTCGAAACTAATCTTTCAATTGTGTTGGCTTTCTGGGTTATTTGTCCATTTTAGATTGCCGCAATTTCGTAAGACAAATAAGAACAGCGGTTCGTTATGTCGCACTAAGTAATCTAGTTAGAATTTTATGAGTGTGCCTGCATTTATCTTGCCCTTTGACTTTGTCAACTCAAGTTGATTAATTTTTTACATCACAATACAATTACTAGACTGTCGCCTAGAGTATAGAGTTATGGAATACAATAGCAAGACTGCCAATCATTGGCAGGCCACCAAATCGTTTGTTCAGATTTCACAATTGATTTCGCGTCAGCATTTACAGTTACTTAAATTATTCGCTAATGCCTGCCTGCCTGCCTTTTTGATTGCGATTTATCGAGCTCCACCCAGCCCATGAGATGATCCCTCTCCTTAAGGTATTGCTTTCTCCCTCGATTATTTCATCAGAGATCGCACAAACAATTAAATAAGCTATTATATTGCATTTATTATTATTTGTGTCATGTTCGTTTTATTGCGTTTGTCATTCAACTGCGAAAAAACTGCCGACTGCCAACGGGCACTTTGTAGATGTTTTATTTTTTTTGCCCCCCTCAAGTTGTTTATAATATTTTTGTGAAGCTTTTTAGCCTAGCCGTCTGGCTAATTGAAATGTGTTGCATTCCATTCCTTGTGTAAATGTGATATGACGCTAATTAATATGTTTTATGGTTATTCATCAATTACACAAAGATATGTCAAAATAACAAAATTTATTACACATCTTAAAAAATTTGACAAGCCTGTTTTTGGGGGTTCCACTTAGATAGGTTTATTTTATTGTTTCCTTATTTTTCAACCATTTTTAATGGGTTTATTGGTTATAGAAAAACTACTTTGTAGTGCGTGTAGATATTGTTTACAAATATTATTACAAATAATGGTTCAATTTGGATTAACAAATCTGAAAGTTAAGTTTTTCTTAAGCCCCATGATTATTTAATCCCGACCATTTTTGAGATCTTTATAGGCCGCATTCGTTTTTTTAAGTATTTCAAGTGTACACAGAAACCAGAAATCGTTTAGCATCTGCCTGTAAATATCTGGATTCCGTTGTGCCTTCAAAGGCTAACAAGTCTGCATAGGTTTTTCCTTTAATTGTTGACTTTTGCTTGACAATTTGTTGAGGTCTTAATTTGGTGATAATCAACGCTTAAAGTAACTGAAGTGTGTTTTTCTTATTCCAAATAGTTTAGCACCTGGCAGTTAATATCCGAATTCAGAGCTATACCTTCTTTAAGATCGTAAGATCGGTTTTCAAGCCTTAAGGTGTGTTTATTATTTGCCTTTTTGTCAACCATTTTGAAAATTCGTGATTTTAAACGGGGTGATAATCAAATCTTTCTAGTAAACAAATTTAAAATCTCGGAATGTTTTTATATAATTTTAATCAGACGCTGGCAATGCAGAGAAGGAGTCATTTTCTACCCTATAAAGTATATACATTCAGCATCAACAGCCGAGTCGATTTATCAATGTGAGACAGGAAAACAAATGTTGACCTATTTATTCAATATTTCATAAGGGATTATATCGTTAGAATTGTTAAAAATGCACAAAATAATATCGTAATTTTTTGTATTCTTTAAGCTTGAGATGCAGATTTGTTAACCGCGTTAACCTTGTAAACTGCACAAATATACAAAACTTTGGCTTCCCAAAGTTAGCCTTTATTCCTGTTCTCCCCTGCATTTAAATGCGTTTATTTATTCGTTTATGAACTGGAAAGTTTTCCGTTTTGTTCGTCGAGGTGGACGGTAGGTGCTCCTATTCTTGTCTCTATTAGATGCAAGTTTATTTATTTATTTATTTATTTTTAGTGTATTCAACCCATTTGCATCTATTTTCATGCGCTCCAGTGCCGAATGCCGTTCAAATGAATATATATATATGTATATATACAATGCGACCGTTTGGTCACATCTCTGAAGACACAACCGGACGGGACCGGGACACCACATTTACTTCAATTGTCATTTACACTTGACGGGGGTCCGTTGTGACTGTCAGTCCATTTTTCGCTTTTTTTTTTATTCCTTCTCATTTTTCTGCCGTTTGTGTTGAGGTTTCGGTTTTGGTTTTCTTATTTTTCTGAATTTTTGCTGGTGTCTCCGCTGCTCTCCCATCGGTTATGCATTGTCGGCGTCTTTAGCATTCGAAATTGTTCAAATTTCCGTCTCTCTTTCGTCGAGAGCTGCATAAATTTCCGCCGGTCTCTTGTACGTACGGGTTTTATGTCATTTTCTGAACTGTATGGGCATTACCATAAGCTAAGCGAATCTTGAACCAAATCACGTTGTCTCTGACTTTTTGTGTTTACAGCCTTTTTTATATGTTGTTTGTTTAATGGTTGCTTTTAATTTTTTTTTTTGTTATATATTTGTGGGTATTTTTTATTTTGAAAAGCATTTGTCTTACTTATTTGGCCGCTGCTTTCCTTTCACCTAATGTAGCTGACCTTTTTGCTTATGCTTTTTAAAAGATCTTGAACTTGTTAATCGATTTTTTTGCCCTCTATCATATTTCTATATTTTGTAGAAAGTAATTGTGCTTTTGAATGGATTATTTACGGTAAAAAAGTCAGTCACTTGATGGACATATCGCGTTTTTTTTTTCCACATTTCCTGCTTAGCTTTTAATATTATATATAAATCACTTAAGATCAGAGCATTTGCAATTCAAACAGCTTAAAATCGAATATAATTAAGAGAATTATAATGGTCAGAAATTCTCAATTTTTGAAATAGTTGCATCAGTTTTTTGATCTTGAATTATGCAACAAAATGTAGCGTTTTTATGCGAGCCTCCATTTTGGTTTACGCCTTAATTGAAATGATCTTTTCTATAGAAATATTTTTGATTTTTTTCACCAGTAAATGCCCTCATGTTGGCATTGTGATTTTTTGTCTGTCTGTCTGACCGGCAAGACGGTTTGCCTCTTTTAATGAAACCGCTCAATTGGAAAACAAAAGGTAAATTACTTGCTCCAAATCCCAATAGAAAACGAAGGTGCTCGTGGCGTTGGAATTGTTGCCACTCGAATGCTCCGATCGGCAGCGCCACCACCTGTGCGGATTGAAGATTGGAGATTGGAGCTTTCGACCCAGAGACCACCAGCTGCCCATAAACCATAAACTGAACCATTGCTCATTAATAACTCCTCGGCTGGCTTTGGCTTTGGCTTTCCATTCAAAGCGAACGGCGGTTTTTGCCTCACCCATGTTTTTTGTTTTGTTTTTTTTTTCTTAGCCTTTTCAATGTCAATTAATTAATTCATAATTCAGTCAGCCACGAGCAAAGGAAAGTAAAGAGATACACAGGAAATCGGTGCGCGACCACAGAAATTGACAGCTCTGATTGTATTTTAAAATTTTATTAGCTAATTCACCTTTCAGGTGACCAAAAATTGAAAGGCCAATATTTTTAGCAGCAAATTTGCATGCAAATCTTGTCGCACAGTTTTGGAATAGCTAATGTCACACAGACTATAAAATCTGTGATGAATGTATGTTGGTAATGGTTCCATAAATAGAAGAAGATTTAACAAAACAAACAATATGTATATTAAACTCTGATATTTTAATGTATTTTCTACGCTATAATAAATATTAAAAATAAAAACTTGTAGAAAGTTTTTAAATGTTAAGTTTTGGTCTTACAAAAATCAAACTCTGATATTTTTAATATATTTTGTATTGTGTTATTTAAATTTAAAAAAAAACTTTATAAAGTTTTAAAATTTATTTTATAAATGTTATCTCTGAGCTTCCAAATTTAACCTTTAATTTATTTGTTCCACAAACATTTATTAATTAAAGTTTTTATTTTTTATTTCCAGATAAATCGTGACGATGGCCTTCCACAAGAGATCTGCCGCCAGTGCATGGCTCAATTTCTGATGGTGGCCAAGTTCCGGCGGAAATGCGTACGAATGCAACAGCGTCTGCAGGACTTTGCCCAGGATATATCCGACCGCCAGGCGGCCAGGCAAGCCAAGCGTCAGCAAAAGCAAGCCCAAAAGCAGGAGCCATCCAAGAAGGAGGAGCAGCCAGCGCCACAACCGGAACGAAAACGCCGTATGGTATCTGAATCGGACAGAGAAGCAGTCGCCGCCGCCACAGACACACTTACAGAGCTTCGCACAGAATCCCAGGAACTGCCACCGCCCAAGGCTCGACGCCTCCAGCTTCGCCTGCGCAAATACCGCGCCTTTTCCATCGGCTGTGAGATGGAGCATCCCTCTGCCATCGATGCCAGCAGCATGCCTTGGAAGACGAAGGCCGCCCGCAAACAGATCTCCGAGACATGGACATCGTCCAGTCCCGCCACCGAATTCTCATCGCCAAATCCTAGCTCCGATCACGAAACCAAGAGCTGCAGCAGCTCTGATCGAATGAGCGAACTGTCCGTGGGTCCCTGTTGTGGCTTTGAGAGCGACAGTAGTCCCTCCTCCACATCCACGCAATCCACGGTGGCCGATGGTTTACAGTTTCCCAAACGTTTGGCACCACGCCGTGGACGGCGCTTGAGAAATACCCCAGTTTATAACCCAACCAAGAGGCAGAAAAGATCGTTGATCAAGTTGGAGAAGGAGGAGACACTCCAGCTTAAAGAGAAAACAAAGTCTGATCAAATGGAAGTCTTCCAGCAGGAGTTAAAGGAAGAAAACTGTGCCGCATCAGGTGATGCGGCCATCGACAGCACTTCGGATGTGTCAAAAGTGGCGAGTGAGCAGCTTCCAGTGGAAAAGATTGAAGTCAATCATACTGGGGACGAGCTCATTTTGGAAAAGGAATCCAAGGACATGTTAATTAATTCGAATGGTTTGGGCAACCAAGAAGACTCCTTGATGGAGGAACAAGTCAACTCAAATGAAGTCTTAAATGGCGTAGAAGAAAAGGCTTCCAATGAAGGACAAGAAAACCCAGCCGAAGCCGAAGATGATACAAAAAATATGTGCGAAAAGCCAGCTGAACAAAAAGAGACAGAAACAGTTAACGAAAAGGAAGAATCAACCTCTAAAACTTCGGAAGAATCGAACGATGGCAAGGACAACAGTATAGCGGTCTGTTTATCCGAGGACATTTTAAGCGAGCCACTTCCTTCGCAGCCCACGGAAGATCCCCTGCAATCGGAGGAGCTGACCTCCTCCACGGAGCCCAGTAGGGTTCAACCGGAATCTGTTGACCAGCCGGAGATCATAGTAAGCATACCTCTGGAAGTGCTCGATGAGAATCTGCAGCGTCGTCTGGTTGTGGAACAGGACACCGCCTCGACCCCCAAGAACCTTCAGTCCGTCCAGAACGACGATGTGAACAACAATGCTAACGATGAAAATTTTTGCCAGAGTGCTACAGCAGATAGCTTCAATTCTACTGTGGCACTCCGAACCAATGAAATTGAAGCAAAACCAGGAGGAGGAGGTGAAGGTGGTGCCATGGGTCCAAATGCAGAAGAATCCCTGCCAGAAGACGATTCTGAAGAAGCTGATGAGGAAATACCAGTGCCTCGGTCTGGACCCACGCCCATGGATTTTATGGCCGAGTTCACCAAGCATTGTGTCAACGGTATCGAGCAACTGAAGGCCACCACTCCGGCCCCATCGCCCACGCCCTCGGAGCTGCCGTTGCCGCTTAACGATCTGGAGGCAAAGCAGCAGTTGGAGGTGGAGATGAACGATGTGGAGACCACGCTGAATGGCATCCTCAACGAGATGCAGGATCAGCACATGTACACACCGAATTGTACACACATCGATGAGTTTCTCACGCCCGCCGATTATGCTCCGCTGACTGAACAGGAACCCTCAAACTCCTCACCACCAAATCCCTTCGAGGAGAGTCCAGTGGTGGAAACAGGAACAAAGCCACCCGCTGCCAGCGAGCATCTATTTGATAACAGCAACTTTAGCAATGAACTGATAGGTTTCCAGAACGATATTCCCTGCTTTGAGAACATCGAATCCTCTCCAGAACCGGGACAGCAGAGTTTGCATTTGGAGCTTACGCAGTTCCTGAGTGATTTGCAGCCAACGCAGGAGGTAAAGTCAGACGTAGAGGCACCTGTAGAGGCACAACCAGAAGCACAAGCTGATGTTCAAATCCAGTCCCCAAATGGGTCAGAAAATCTAGCTCAAAATGAGCCCAATGAACAGCTTGAGATTCAAATTCAAACCCAAATAGAGCCTCAAATGGAGCACGAAATCCTGACAGTCCAGGCTCCGGAGGAGCATCCACAGAGCCAGTCCCATGTGGAACATCAAATTGTGGCAGTGGAAAATCAAATTCAATTGCACAACCAATCTCAGTCTTCGAACACACACCAAATGCTGCAGACGCAGACATGTATCCAAAACCAAGGGCAGCCAACGGTGCAGATGATGCAGCAGATCCAGCCGCAAGGCTATTCCCAAGTGATACCCCATGTCCAGTCGCGGGACACTACGACGACAGTCACCTACGAGCAGATCTATCAACAGCACATTGTGCAGCAGACGGTCCAGCAGTCCTCCTCCAACAAAGTGCAGCTCATCTCTCTACCCTCGTGTGCAGGGGAAACCAGGCAATGGCAGCCCCAGCACCAGCAGCAAGTGCAGTGGTCATCGGTGGGCGGCCTGGAGTCCATCAAGAGTTCACCCATCGAGACTACTTACTATATAAGTTCAAGCGATTTGTATCCGCAGCAGGGAACAGAGACGACGTATACTATGCTGCAGCCGGCCTCCGTGGAGTCCAATGAGAGTTACATGCTAGAGCAAAGCCAGCATCAGCAACAGCAACAGCAGCAGCAGCAACAACAACAACATCAACAACAAGAACAGCAGCAGCAACAGCCACCGATCATGATTGTGATAAAACCAGAGATGCAGCAACCGGTGGCCTCTGCCAGCAACCCGCAGCAGGCACCACTGCAGCATGTTTATGGAGCACCCATCAGCAATGATCTGCATCGCCTGCAGTACACCAAAAGGATACAGCAGCATCAGCAGCAACAATACCAGCAGCAGCAATACCAGCAGCAGCAGCAGCAACAGCAACGCCTTCAATTGCAAAGCCATCCGGTAATAGGAATGCCAGGAGCCACGTCGATTTCAACCAAAGTACATCCCATACCCGCCACAACGCCCACTGGTCGACCTTTAACCCTCAAGTGCCGCTTCTGCCAGAATGGTCCAAGGTTCTCCAACAGCCTTGAATACAGCCGTCACATTATTGAACTCCACCCGGCCGTGGCTCCTTTCAACTGTCCGCACTGCCCGCTGGCTTTTGCTGGCAGGAGTAAGCGTTCGCAGCATATCCTTAGCCAGCATGTAGTTCAGCAGTATCAGTGCGGCCAGTGCTCTCAGGTGTTTCCCGCTCAAAAGGCCTTGGACCTGCATATCCAACGCTTTCACATGCCTTTAAAGACCGTGGACAGTGTCCGAGTGGAGGATGTCCAACTGCAGATCACAAACGGACGGCAGCAGCAGCAGCAGCGTCTGCCATATCAACCAAGAGCATATCAACCGCGACAGCAACGTCAACCACAACGAACCCCGCATCATCGGGGGACGCCACAAGAGCAGCCGCAGCAGCAGAAACTGCCAGTGATGCAGCCGCAGTCGCAGTCACCGCATCCATCAAGTGAGCTTGGTTATGCTTTCACCTCAAAGATTAAATTTTAAAACACGAAATCTTTGCCCCAGCAGGAGCAATGGAAGTCCAGGCGAGCACAACCACGACGCGAAAGATTCTGTGCTGTCCAGACTGCGAGGATGGTGAGTTGAATGAAACCTAACTAGGGGTTCCCTTCCAAAGTAACATTATCTTCCCTTTTGTAGGCACTGCAGGTCATAGCCATGCTGGCAGCGCTGGAGGATTCGAGGAACTCCCCTCGCTGCAGTCTCCGCCAACGGTGCTCACCCCGCCCTCGACGATCGTTTCGGCTCCATCGCCCCAGCCCATGATGGTCTCGCAGCATATAACGCTGCCCTCGCCCGAACAATCCGAGCCAGATTCCACGACCACCTTGCGGCAGTATCGTAAGCGTGGTGTCATTGTGGGGCCCCAAGGTCCGCTGCATTTGGCCACGCCTGTGGCTTCGCCCTCGCCGTCATCGTCGCCATCCTCCTCCACCTTTGACCATATACCACCAGCGTCACCAGCAACGCCTGCTTCGCCGGCACCGCCTCAGTCGCCCGCCCCGCCGTCTTCCGTGCCGGTAAACGAGCTACGTACAAGTCACCAATGCCACTACTGCGAAGAGCGTTTCACCAACGATATTGCCCTTAAGAAGCACCATCAGCTAGCTCATGGATCCCAGACCACGATGCCGTTCGTGTGCACCATCTGCAAACGAGGCTATCGCATGCGAACGGCTCTGCATCGGCATATGGAGTCGCATGATGTGGAGGGCAGGCCGTACGAGTGCAACATTTGTCATGTGCGATTCCCGCGGCCCTCGCAGCTGACGCTGCACAAGATTACAGTGCACCTGCTTTCCAAACCGCACACCTGCGACGAATGCGGCAAGCAATTTGGCACAGAGAGCGCCTTGAAGACGCACGTTAAATTCCACGGTGGTAAGTTTTGGGGCACAAAGCTCGTGGTGCATGCACACAGGGGATGCTACTAAAGGGGTTCCGGGCTCCAGCCTCCTTACAGCTCTCTTACTTACTCCACTAACAACATAATCCCCCCATTCGCATTTATACTAGTATTTTTTTCTTGTTGTAGCTCGAGTAATAAGCCTCTTACTAATCCCTCCCTGTTGATGCTGTTATCGCTTCATTGTTGTTATTGACAGTTTATTCCGCCAAAGTAGTCATTTGTTTCCTGCAAAGGTAAAGCATAAATCCTATACGAAAAGGACTTATTTCAAGAGGGGCTCTTGAAACAGGAGAACTGAAATAAATAAAATCATTGATTCGAAAGCTTTCACATTGCATTGCTTGTCATAAATTAACACAGCTTGGACATTTTGCATGTTTTCACAAATTTCTGCTAACCAAAATATAATTAACATGAAATGTCACCGGTCTTACACTTGTTGTGGTCTTTTATCAGAGATTACAATTTAGCAGAGCTCTTTCCATGACCCAATAAAAAGGCTCTAAAAAACAAAAACTTTGTAGTGTTTTGGCCTTTCTCTTTGCTTAGTTTACAACCGATTTTTTCGCTCGATCGACTTATCGGTAGCATCGAGACCGTTTTGTTCGCAAAAACTAAGCATTTGAGAATGTATTGTGTGTAGCGTAAAACGAAATTATCGCAGAATGTGTCTAAAAGTACAAGAAATTATATAAATATTAGATGTACATAATATATAATATAATAAACATAAAATTATATTATATTATATATATTATAAATATAAATTCACGATTGTTGACTTAAGTCTCGCTAGACTTCAAAAACGGACACCGAAAAGAACGTTTTGTGAACGAAAACCTATTGTGAAATATATTTTTGTATATTGTTTATGTTCAATTATCACTAATGTTTACCCAATCAAAAAAGATTTTATCAAAGCCTTACAAACAGTTCAACATAAATTAAACTTTCACTGCCACAAACTGAGAGAGCTTGTGATTAATTTATTTTCTGTTGCTTAGTTAGGAACGCTGATTCCATTCATATCAGTCATTAGAAGACAGATTTGTGCCTCGTACCCTTACCGAGAAATCAAAGACCTAACATCAGAACAAATCAAAAACTGGTCTTTCTGATGACTTAAAACAAAAATGGGTTCATAAAAATCGGTTAAGCATATATTCCGAGCTCTGTAATTCAGTAAGACTGTTCTGGATAACATCCATATATCGCTTTGAGATTAAGGTACAAAAAGCCCACATTTACAATTGAGGGGTTTTTTTTTTAAGTGATTAACAATTAGCTTGACACTGTTATTAATCCGTTGACCTAAGCACTTATTTACATTCCATTCTAGTAAGTGCATTGCGTAACTAAAGGCAAGTTCCGTGGAAATCGTATACACTTGTTGCTTTTATTTTGCTTTTGGTTGGTTCCTTCATGAAATTCCCCCATTGCGTTGACCTTAATCTTTTAGATTTCCAAAACATTCCATTCAATGTTACATCTTAGTCGGCTTTAAGTGAAATCCCAAAATGTAACCAAATTTATCCGCTTGTCGATCGAAATATATACCTATGTGTTGTGTTGGCTTCCAAGTTCACCGTGTGTGTGAATTCCCAATTGCTAAAACAACAAACATGACATGGCTTCCCATCCAAATATGCAGATACAATGGCCAACGCCAATTGTCTTTTCCAGGGATCGGTTACCAGTGCGACGGATGCGATCGCTCGTTCGAATATCTCAAGGAATTGCGCAGACATCGTCGTACCCACAAAGAGCTGTTTTACAAATGTGAATTCTGTCCACGGTCGTTTCTTCACTTTAAGATATTTCGCGGTAAAGTCTCCAGGCTATATTGGGTGAAGCCAATGTTGTTGAATTTAATTTAAAATGCTTTTATTGAAATTTGGAATCCCAGAATAAATTTATTCCTACCTAAAAATAAAAATAAATAAAATTTCAACAATGTTGGTGAAACAATGTTGTTGAATTTAATTTAAAAAGGTTTGTCTGATTCCTTATCAAATCCCAGAATATATTTATTTCTATCTAAAAAATAAATAAAATTCAACAATGTTGGTGAAACATTCGTCCAGATTGGATATTATATATGTAGGTGAAGATGTATATATAATAGGAATCGACTGATATGGCTGAGATTTTTTTATGCATGGCCTTGGCTATGAAAAGCACCTAATATGCATTATATATATATATATATCCATTTTACTTAGCTAAACAAAGCATTAATCTATTTTTCCTTAATTCTCTTTAGCTCACATGAACACCCATTTGCCACTGGGAGTGTTTCTCAACGAAGAGACGATAGTAAAGACCGTCAGCAGCAATAACAACAACAACAACAACAACAACAGCAGCATCCTTAGTAGCGATAAGCTAGAAAATCCACCAACACCCATCGAGGAGACCGCCCCCATGAGCTGCAATAGCGTTTACAACGTACAAAGCCCAGATGATTACCCCAATTCGGTGGAGAGCAGTGCTGCCACCAGTGTGGCTCTGGAAACGATAGCCCCAACGCCATAACAAACGCTACCATCGATGACCTATCATTTGGTTTGCAACACTTTATTGGTTGCAAATCAACGGCCGACAACAACAACAACAGCAACAACCTTGCCAATTAGAGCGATGACGCCTAACTACACAATTGTCATTTTTAATGGCAAACAGCTTCCATTCATTCTTCTTCCCATCGGAGCCAACCAAGCCCAGCATCTCTCGAACGAGAGGAACCAGCAGACTGCATCGAATGCAATGCGATATTGCACTTAACAATTTAGCGACTAAGCCAACAAGTACACTCCCTCAGACTAAACAGAACTTAAGGCTAAATGTGTATTTAGTCCATAAGCTAGCTAGAATTTAGGCGTTCATGCAATGAAACCAACAACAACAAACCAACCAATGGAAACAAATAAGCAACAAGTTAACGCTAGGCTAAACAAAAAAAAACCATATTTACATAATATACACATTTTTTGACTTCCGTTCAAAGTTTTTGTTTTAAAAAAAAAGGAGCAAGAAATTAAAAAATGAACAAAGAAGTTCATTAAAACTAAGACAAGCTAGCATTAACTACGTACCAACAGGAATTACAAATTTAGTTGTTACAACTTTTGGTACAGAGACCCTTAACATTACGACACTGCGACTTGAACAGCTCTCAAGGCCAATTTAGTTCCATTTTATTTTTTAGATAAACGTAATTTCCTTCTCTTTATTTATAAACTATATGTAATAAAAAATTTATGCTCTTAATAGTGCTGCGATCCCACGATAATAACAAAGATGTTCGCCCCCTTGGTTCCTTAGTAGCTCTAAAAACATTTATTTTATATATATATCGGTGGTCCACCCTAATCGTAGTACCAGTCCAGGAAGAGCAGGGAGAACGACATGACCAGCAGGAAGAATAGGGACCACACACGGAGACCTGCATTCCGTTGAGTGGCCTGACGGATCTGCTCATTGGCATCCTTAACGTTCTCGGTGGTGCCGACGACGGCACTGACAATCCGCTCAATGTTGTGCTGCTGCATAGCGACCTACGAGGAAGAGTAGATTTTTAAATGGAATAATAACTATATTTATGTACTTTCTAAACTGGTCTATTATTATATTATATACATATATATATATATTATATATTATATATTGGTGTATTTGTCAAACTTGGACTATCTCAATTACCAACTACTAATCAGGACTTACAAATCAGAACAATAACTCTCTCTCTACTTACTCCCCCCAAAACATGGTTTAACTAGCCGAATCTCTATTCATTGAATTTTTGTGCGACGAGATAGATAGCTACATAAGTAAGCAACTAAGCTTACCGAAATTTGGATTTGAACAATACAATAATAGAATAACCCCTAAGATTGGGACAATTAAACTAGACTTTGTATTTTTTTCATGGTTGGGGAATGCCGAATCGCTTACCTTCTCGGTGAAGATGTCCTGCAGCTGGGCAATGTCCACAACGTTCTTTTCTATCTGCTCCACCTCCTCGGATACGCCCTGCAGGAAGTTGTAAATGTGCACGTTCTCTGCCTCGAACAGCTGCATATCCTCGGCACTGAGGGGATCCTCGTCGTCGGCCTCTTGCTGCGACTTTTGTAGTTCCTCATCCAAAGCCACTTTGGCGGATGAATCGGAGCTCATGGCTGCTCTATTGGGCCTGCTGCGCTTACGCTGTCTAGGTTTGTGCTGGCTAATTTCGGGTGTCCGGTCCACCTCTTTTCCCTGACCATCGTGGTCATCCGGCTCTGCATCCTCCTCATCATCATCCCATTCGTCCCAGCCGTCGTTGTTCCAGTCATTGTCAGCGGAGTCCTCTGCTTGGCCGTTGGTCGAGGGCTCCTCATTGTCTTTGTCTTCGTTATTACTACTCTGCTGGCGCCTGCCGAGCTTGCCACTGTTGCTGCCCGCCGGTCGCACTGGTATCTTCTTCTTGTCCGCCGCCAGCTTGAGCAGTCTGTAGGTCTCCAATTCGTGCTGCACCCGATACTTCTTCTGGTCCAAGTAGATTTTTTCCACGCTGTGCAGATAGCTGACCAGCAGGTCCAGCACGGCGTCGATGTGCTGCCGCTCCTGCGGCCTCCGCTTTGCTGCCTTCCAGTCGCTGCGCATCTTGGCCAGGTGCTGCGTGTAGAAGGTAACGAATTTCTCCGACTCGCGGTCGATAAGGTCCCGCTGGGCGTCGGTCATGTGGGTGGCGCTCTTCAGGTGCTGCCCGATCTTCATGTAGGCGGTTCGGTTCTCGATCAGCACATTCCGCAGGGAGGTGATCTTGTTGCAGACCTCCTTGGCGTTCTTGGCGAAGTCATCCTTCGGTTGCGATGGCGCTTTGGTGGGTGCGGCTGGTGCCGGGGCGGGCGGCTTGCCGGCTGTCTTCCGCTGCAGTCGGACCGTCATTACACTGGCCTTGAAGGTCTGGGTGATGTCCATATTACTTAATTTATTATTAATTTTAAACTATTTAACTTTTAAATCCACATCATCGGTTCGGTCCAGGGCAGTGTGACCGTTCGCCAATAAATAAAAACCAGCGACAGCGTTGCCAGCCAGTTAGTTTGTTTTCTTCCACTTTCAACGTTACAAACGTTTCATTCGATATCTTGTGATATCGATTAATTTTCAGTGTTGGCTAATGTCTTCAATATAGGCGGTCTTTTAAAAATAATAAAAAACAAATAAAGGGATTTAGTGACTAGGGTTTTATTGAAAATATACAGTATGCATACATGATCTGCGTATCTAATATATGCAATCAAATTCCATTCCTTATTATTTAATATTTCTGTATGTATATTATTTTCATTTTATATTGTTTTTTGTTGGTTTTGTTTTTGTTGTATCCTTTTTACATAAAAATGCACTTTGGTCGCCTGGAAAACGAAACGTTTGCACACAACTACTAGCACTTAAATTATAAAAACTTAATCGTAATTTTTCTACGCACAGTTTTTTCCTTGCGAAAACCAAGCACAAAAAGTCAGACAAATTAGTTACATAATACATTACGCATAATAACAATATTAAACATTAGGCATTACACTTAGTTCACAGTAGTGTGCACGCTGGCTTGGGCGAGGACTTTGGTTTCCGGTCCACGGCACGGACGGCTTCCTCGAAGACCTGCTGCAGGTTCTGTTTCTTCTTCGCCGAGCATTCCACCAGATTGGAGGCGTGGATCTCCTTGCGCAATCGCTTGCCCTCCTACAAAAATGAGAGAGAAATTAGTGTCTTGTAGATACATTAAAGTAGGTATAATTCCTTACCTGCGTGGTCACAAACTTCTCCGAGTTGGGAATCCTCAAGTCCAGCTTGGTGCCCACCAGCACCACAGGCACATTGTTGGAGAAGTGACGGATCTCTGGCCACCACTTGCTCTTGATGTTATCAAAAGAGGTGCGACTACTGATCGAATAGCACAACAGAAAACAGTTGGTCTGCGAAAGAACACAGAAAACCGATTGCAAAATTAATAAAATGTTGCAAGATAAAAAGTCTATTAACTCACATTTGGATAGCTTAGAGGCCGCAGTCTTTCATAGTCCTCCTGCCCGGCCGTGTCCCAGAGGGTAAGATTGTACTCGCGATCGTCGACGGATATGTTGCAGGCATGATTGTCGAAGACTGTGGGTATATACTCCTCGGGAAACTCGTTCTGGGTGTAGGTTATCAGCATGCACGTCTTGCCCACCATGCCGTCGCCCACGATGGTTATTTTCAGCGGGCGCGGGCTCCGCGACATGTTCGTCGTCGTCATTCCCGATTAGAGGTCTTTGTTGTGAAACTGCAAAGAGGGCAGAACGCAGAATAAAGGCGTCAATTTGGCTGCTGGCTTGACAGTTTCAGTTCCGCAAGAGATTGCATTGCGCCATTTGGCGGCAGATGTTGCAGCTCTCTGTTTATCTTAGCGCACCCACACTTTCATCCTGTGGCTGTGCCCTGTGGCTGTAGTAACCGGAAATCTCCACACCAACCCCCTATACATATTGTACACTCAGCATTTATATATTTAATATTGTTCACCATAAGCCAGAAGCCGGAACGTTAAATAAAACACTCCTTTTATTGCACATAATATAAGAATGTGGCTTGAGTAAATAGTAAGTCTTCACGGAAGCGTTGCTAAATGAATTAACAAAATCCACGTTTCAGAAAGCGAAAAAATCGAGAAAAATTGTTAATTACACCCTTGAGAACTTTCGAAAATCTATAAAATATATGCAAACCAATTAATAAAATAATCAAAAATAATGTTGAAACATATAGAGAAGGAAATAATATACAAAGAAGACCATTTTTAGGATGAGAGCTTTTTTAATCCAAGAGTAAATTATTTTCAAAGAGAAAGAGACTGTTAAGAGACTTTAGTTGGGACCTGTTGATAATAATAAAACCATATCACACTTGAACTTCAAAAAAAAAAAGGGTTTAATCTAATCAACAGCTACAACAAAAAAGGCCAATAAAATAAAATACTCGAGGCAATTTTAGCTTTTACGAGGCCAACTGTGGAACGGAGCTTCAATTGATTCTGCGAAATCTTTAATGGAAATAAATGTGCTTTTATGGCGCTTCGCGGGCTTATATAACAATTAAATAAAGCCTGGGTAAAACTAATAGACTTTCACCATCCCAGGCCAGTGACAAAAACATAAGCCAAAACACAACCGCATTCGTTTCATAAATTTTTCTTTTTAATTAAAACTGGTTTCGACGGTTGGTTTCCAGTTGACCCAAAACATAAACTAGATTTCCCTGCCAGCCTCCGCCAAAAAACACATAACGAAAGTTAAAATCAAAAGACTTTTGCCCGATTTACATAAAGGTATCCGTTAGGTTTTTTTGTGACTGGGATTGGAGATTCTGGGGGTCTCCTCCGCTTACGCAGAAAACTCATACGAATTCCAGGAAACATACTCTGTCTTGTGGTTATGACTCATCCGCTGACACTTGTTGGAATCTCGCGGAGGCACTTTCGTAGTTGATTTAATTACAAATCCGAGTTGTGGAGGCTTCTACTATTAAAAAGACCTAGACCACATTTATGTGTGGCGGTGACTCATCCGCATAGAAGGGTTTTGGGGCCAACCCACACATTATTTCATATTTAAGCACCGCCCCAACTGCATCTCAGAGGGTTAAGTAAAAAAGAAAACAAAAAAGGAAAATCAAAACCGGTTCCACTGTGACATTCATCAGCGATTTACCGGTTGAGGGGAATGAATTTTTAAAAAATTTTGGCTTTGGAAACCACAATAAATCGATGGTTAAAAGAGTTATCAGTTGATACATGTACATGGTCCTTAAACTCTGAAGCTGTATAATAATTTAATATAATATAATATTTTCTATATATAGATTGCCAACTTGACATCGAATCTCGAATACATTTCCATATGAAGCTTGGGGTTGGCATGCGTGAGTAATTATCATAAAACGCTTTATTGGCACGCGATCTACAGATGTTGACCCTTGACTCCGAGCACTTTGATGCTTCGCTCAGCACAATTAAGTCTAATCATTAAAGCAAGATGTTCGGGTCTCTCTTAGGGGTTAAGTGCTGTTCTATTTTTTTCTTGAATTTTGCATTATAACCATATAATTCCATTTGGTATACATGGACATAACGGATAATGTAATCACAGAACACGTTTTTGCATAAATTAGTTTTCAATTTTGATAGAATGACGTTACCATTCACTCGGAATCGGATGAGTTCGTGCCTGAAAAAGTGGCAAAAATAGCAGCGGATTTGTTGTTGTTGTTCTTGGCCAAATTAGTAAACACACCAAAGCTGAACAATCGGTTGGCTATTAGGTAGCCACCAAAAATACCAAAAACAACAAATTTGGTCCGAGAGCAGAAACAAAACTAAATAAACAGCAAAAATTTGCCTTTTGTTTTGGCCTCTTTGGACGCATTTTAAATTATTATAAACAAACAGCTCTCGGGGGTTCTGTTTTAGTGACTACGGAAAAGGTGCAAATAATTAAGTCTCAATGCTGCCGAATTTGTGGCTATTTATACAAACAGCTGATTAACCAATAAGGAGGGACTAAGCTCTGTGAATGAGTGGAAAGAATGCCATTATGTAAACTTGGTCGATTGAAAAACAGATGCGCGAACACCTGAAAAGTTTTTCTGGGTTTTGGCGGCTGCCAATAGCCCCCATTCTACCCTGTCCGAGAGAGTCGACAAGCAGCGGAAGCTGATTATCAAACAGAAATGGTACCAAGCTCTCTCTCTCCCTCCTCGTAATTAATACTCGTAATAAATTATTTAAACATAATTGCTGTCGCCCTTAATGCACTCTCTCCCTCGTGAAACATGAATATATGAAGTGCAGCCAGCACAGAAAAAGTCCATGAACATTTTCCGGCTCTTTGTTATCTGCTGCTACTTCGGTTGGCGGTTGGCCTCTTGTAAACTTTTCATATCAAGTTACGTACTTGTTGTTCTCGGAACACTTGCCACACTCACTTCACACTCTTTAGTTGCCTTTTCTTTTCCAAAGATTTCCCAAGATTCCCAAAGGTCTGAAGCTTTTATTGGACTATTGAACAAGAGACACACTGCTGCTGCAGATGTGATTGATGTGCAATTCTGGGGGGGTTTATTCCAGTTCAGCCTTTGTGCAGCCGCTTATCAACTCGAACTTTTAATATATAGATGCATCACTCCGCATCCAGACTCTCAGTTCATGTCCTCCTCTATAGAGTCTTCCATAAATAAGTAGTTTCACAACGAGCTTAGTTATGTGTAACCCTCGGACCCAAAGCAATTGTGATTTATACTCGGGCCACTCATGGGAATTATCAGAATTCAGAAGCGATTTAAAATAGGATTCTCATAACATAATAACAGGCCGGCCGAGGAGACTCATTCTTGATTGACGTCAGTGGAAATTGAGCCACATTTCTGTCCCAGTCCCAGATAAAAAAGCTCCCGGCAAGGAGATTGCTTCGTCAAACATGGACTCTCCATTGCATAAGTCGAAAATAAAGTCCAACTTTAAGCAGAGAAATTAGCATTCATTAAAAACGCTAACGAGTGGTTCCGAAGTGCTGCCAGGATCCATAAAACTAACTAATCTACCACATAGCTAAATTTCTATATAATTCCTATATAGAGAGTTGAACTCACAGCTCTTCCTCTTTTTGCAAAAAAAAAAAAAAAAAAAAAGGAAATTATATACGAATCTCGAGCGTGTGTGTGTTTACTTTTTATGGCTTCTCGCATGGGCTTTCGTATTTAATAAACTGATTAGATAAGATAGATGTAGGTGAGCGTGCAGGGTACATAGGGAATTGGACTTGAAAGAGCAACGACGAAGCGATAAGGGGAACCATGGCGAAACCTGTGCGTTTTAACCTGGTCAGAAAATAAAAGCGAATCCCAGAATCACACGGATCGGGGCAGATTGCAAGGGCACGCGCTCACCAATTAGTTAAATTAATTGAGGTTAATGCGGTATATATTTATTGGGCCATAGGTCGCAATGAATTGATTGCTGAAACAATAAAGATTTGGGTCTGAGTTTGGGTTTGGATGGATAGGTGTCTTCACGTACTCGGTTTCCTGTGATGGCCTTTAAATGGCCGTGTGTAACCATAATAATTGTTTGTCAACTAAAAATGGTAACGGACCCATTAAGGTGGCATAAGCCCAGTCGAGAATCGAATGAGTGAGTGATCTCCCAGAGAGAGCAAGAATATCGGAGAGCAGCCGTGGGGATCGTAAGCTGTTTGGCATTCCAGAGCCTGAGGCCGAGAGAGCGGGGTGACGTGAGCGCCATACAAAGTGACTCAGGTGATAAACGAAGCGATCGAAAAAGAGTTCACGCTGGCCCCCACCCTGTCTGATCTATCCTAAACAGTGTTTACACCAAATATACTCATGCTTTTGCCACTAAATTCACTCAAGCCACACAAGGTCATTTCACAGCCAATTCGGCAGTTCAATAGTCGGCTGCATTCGGGGCGTCCGAAGTGGCGTATACTTGTTAACTTTGCACAGGCACGTACTTATAGATACGACAAACGACTCCTACTACAGCCGTAGTATCCGCACTTTTTTGTGTTGGTTCCAATATTCAATCGAGCGACACGTCTGGGAGATATGACGTGCGAATCGATCGCAGAGAGCTGGAGATTACACGTACTCCGGAGTGGCGGCGGCGGCAGCGAAGGCGAAATTGAAAAACCGGATAGACGAACGGCCACACAACCGATCGCTGGCAATGTCGTCGAACAACTGAGTTCAGAGCAGCCTGAAATCCATGAGTTCGTGTATCTGACGGATACCCGAAGAGCGCTCGAAGAGAGCGACTCGCTTGCTATTCTTTCACGCTGGGCCTCTCTGGTCTCCCTTATCAGCTGGCCCGTCTCCCGATAAGGAGGCAACTCCTTCGAGAATGGCAAGTGTCAAGAGAATGCATAGGGGGATTAAAAGATTGTCCGAGATTGGCTCACATTTATCGCAGTTTTTGCTCTTAACTGAAACAAAGCAAATTAAGACCTATGGAAACCAAGGAAAAACCTATGGAACAAATTCCAAGATAAAATATAGATTTACAATTATTAACTCAATTAGTACAATTACACTTTCAATTAAAAGAGCCTAATAATTTAGCTTATTACTTGCCTGAAGTAGTAATTTATTACTAATAATAATGTGGTGGTTGCTCTTTTCTATATTTATTTTGTATTAAACGTTTTTTAAATGTCTTTTGCGATTGAATTCTGGTATTGAATACTATATCGATTTATGGCAAAGCCCAGACTGTATTCGTTTTAATTCGGAAAGCTGTTCAGTGTTAAAAAATCAGCCTAAGTAATTGTAGTTTGTAATAATCTAAAAGTTAAAAGTCTTGACAACTGTAAGGTTTAGTGTGCAGAATTTCAAGCTTTTAAATTCTTGGAAAACCGATTAGACGCTGCAAGTGTTTACTTAACCCAAATCCAAATCCACCCGCGTAATCTCCACTGGTTCTTTGAAACTCAGCAAATATCTGACATTAGCCATTAATCAACGGCATTCGCCAGTGCGTGCTGCCCAAAACCGAGGCGTTGTAACGGTAATTAGAGCTAAGACCCCTTTTAGGGGCATGTCCAAAAACGACCACGGGTAAGTAGTGAGTGAGTTCTCAATTAACCGCCACGTTGATGGAGCATTACATTAATTAAAACTACACTGGGCACTGGGCACTGGCTGGCGCTCTTTAAAAGGAATAAAGGTCAAGTGATAAAGGCTGCGACGAGCAAAGGGAAGCGCCGAAAAATTATTATTAATAAATATAAGTGTGTGCAGCAGCAGTGCCAATTAGGGACAGATACTTATGTCTCGGCACATGAGCAACATCTGTGCCCCTTTTATCCAAAAAAAAACATGTATATATATACATAAATCCAACTGGAAGAGAGAATCTCTGGCAGCACTTTCGAGGGAGGGAGGAGCAAGTGCCCCTGAAACGGTAGCAGGTGCTGCCACAGGAGCACTCGAAAAACAATTCAATCTGGCTGGGAAAATGGACCGACTCTCAAGGTCGAAGGGTGCTTCCACGGCGGGTGCTGTGCCTCCTCCCTCCGACAAAGAATCAAATTCGCCCAGGGAAGGGGCGATCAAGAATAGCACAGAGGCAGCAGGCGACAAAAGATAATATTGCATTGCGTTTCCATTTCCCGTTTCCGGTCGGGTTTTGCCTGCCAGCTGAGCTGAGTACGGATCGTCCGGATCGTACGGATCGGATCGAAGCGAAGCGGAGGGGGCGGGAGTGCACGGTTGCTATTTCTGAACAGCACTCATATACTATATCTTATCTGGTGTACGGCGTCTGCAGCAGCGAATAATGAGGGTGAGGGCGAGCTGGAGTGACAAAAACAAATATAACGAGCTCCAATAACAACAAGGTGACAAGCTAGAACTGTTCTCAAATCAAATATGTTTTATTAAAAGTAATTGCTGTTGCTATAGCAATTTAATAATGAATAGATCGATGGCCTAAAGAACTGAATTAGTGCAAATATTATTTACAGCTATTTTATAAAAAAAAAAATTTAATTTATTTACCTTATTTAACAGAAACAAGAAAGGAAATTAACTTCGGGAAGCCGAAAATATTATACTCTTGCCATAGGATCACAGAATCGAATCAAAAATAAATCATAACTAAGCCAAAAAATGCATTAATTTCCATTCGGAAAGCTTTTCTGTGTTAGTTAATCTGAATACTACATTTTAAGTTTAAAAAAACAAATTTTTTTGGAATTTTTGAAAATTTTAACGATGTAACTTATCAAATTTTGAAAAAAACACAAAAATATTTTTTTTATGCAACCATGTCATGCTGATCAATAATATATATGATTTATTTCCTCAATTTTATTCTAAGACTACTTTTGAAATTTAACGAATTTCCAACGAAAAAATGTTGTTTTTTTTAAAAACGAATAGAACTTCCCTGACCTTAGCAACCCCAAACCTTTTACCTTTTAATATTATTGAAGAATCTAGAATTTCCTTTTTTGAAATATAAAAGTATTCGATCACAGGTCTATCGATGTATCGATATTACGATTTTATGGCATCCCTAAATAAACGTGTAAAATATATGAATAACATTTTTGTAAACAAAGCAACCTGAGCTTTTTTTCTTAATTTGAGTCAAAGCCCTGACATCCAAAAATATATATTAAATATAACAAGTTTTAATAGGGAGAAACTCTTAAATATCCGCTAAATCGCGATATAAATATTCCTCGTATTCGATATACCGCTCTTTTGAACGTTTTTCAACACTATCTGCATTTTGTGTATAAAAAACAACGAAAATGCCCGAAAGCGACGTGACTAAAATGAAGGTACGTGATTTATCTTAAAGGTTCGATTGTGTGTGACCTGGAGTATCTTCCCTAGGTGGCGGACCTGAAGCGCGAGCTGAAGCTCCGGGGCCTCACCGTGAATGGCAACAAGACGGAACTCCAGGACCGCTTGCAGACGGCGCTACTGGAGGGAGACATTTCCCTGGAAGACTCGGCCATAGCTGATGCCATTGACGACGACGATGTGTCTCTAACCGATGAAGATGAGCACAAGCTGCTGGGAGTCGAGCATGACGACGTCGAAGATGAGCTGCTCAAGAGTCCAGTCAGCACTCCCACCACCGTCTCCGTGCCCGATTTGCTGGCGGAGAAGGAGGAGACGTCGAGCGCAGCCCCGGCTGCAACAGCTTCTTCGCCGGCAAAGAAAATTGTGCTCAAGCGAAACAATTCCCTGACGGTCACAGGCACTGCCACAGGCTCGGGCACAACGACTTCCAAGGAGAACGAAGCACCCGCCGCAGCTACTGGCAATGAGACTACCGGAGAGACCCCGATCAAGAAGCACAAGCCCATCGTGGTGGGACCCAGGACCGAAGGCGACAAGCCATCGGTGGATAAGAAACTCAGCGAGTTGACCGCTCAAGAGCGATTGGAGCTGCGGGCCAAGAAGTTTGGCATCACGACAACACCAGCCGCCGCCGCAGCAGCTTCGCCGGCAGCGTCAGTCAACAAATCCTCGAGCGCCTCCATAACGGCCAACAAGGGCAACAAGGAGACAGACGAGCAGCAGAAGGAGGCCCTCAAACGTCGCGCCGAACGCTTCGGATGCGTGGTTCCCGACAAAACCCCCAAGGCTGCGGCCGACGAGCGATTGCAAAAGCGAAAGGAGCGATTCGGAGCTCCAGCTGGAACTCCAGCTGCAACAGCGACGCCTGGCACAACGGAATCAAAGGACGTCTGGTCGGAGAAGGCACGCGCACGCTTGGAAAGATTCAAAACCACACCGGTTGCAGCTGAGACCACCAAATAGAATTACCAGGAATTAATTTCGTAGGCAAGCAGAATCACAATTGTAATAATTTCTATCGTTTATGGACGAGCTATCAATCATTCAATCACGCATCTAACCCCAAAGCCACCAATGCTTGTAGCAACTAAGCAAATGTTTAATAAACGTACATTTCAATACTAGACCTCAACTTTCTTGGGATTCACATGGTTTTATTGACTTTAATTCAATGACTTAAAAAATAGTTTAATTTTCGTCTTCAAATGTTGATGGATCTTCTTGGTCTTGGGTTTGTTGTTGTTGTTGTTGTTGCTTTTGGAACGTCAATAATCATAATATTAGCTTGTATAATAATATGCGTATGTTTATATATAAAAGTTACACAGTACATGTGGGTTTGTCGTGGATGCCAGCGTGAAATAAGGAAAATCTATTTGTGGCTCGTCTGAGGCTCCTCCGACAACCGATGAATGAATTTTTGGAAAAATGGATTTTGGATTGACTTAAAAGTAAGTTACTTTAATGTTGCGACCATCCAGACGGGATCCATCCATTAACGCTGCAAAGAAAGCCAGAGATTAGTATGTTTGAGCAGTGGAATCACAGGTGTAACTCACCTATGGCCAGTTCGGCATCACGCTCCTTGAAGAAGCGCACAACGCCAACGTCATTTCCACGAATTTCGGCAAACTTGACATCGCCAATCTCACGGAACTTGTCGCGCAACGTTTGCCAGGTGCAGCTCATGGGAACATTCTTGATGATAATGGTGTCCGACTTGCGAGCGCCGCCTCCAACATTATTGGAACCCACATTCGAGTTGCCCACATTGTTGCCGCCTCCATAGATATCCAGTTGATTTACTGAGTTGTAGTCATTGCTGTCCTGTCCGCCTCCTCCATTGCCACCGCCCACACCGGAGCTGCTGTAGGCATTGTATCCCACATTGCCGCCAGAGACTCCGCCCCCACCACTGTAGTTGCCGCCCGAGCTGTAGTTATTGCCGCCTCCGGTGCCGCCGCTGCTGTAGTTGTTGGACAGGCCAACATTGCTGCTGGCCAGGGCATCGTCGTTGCCGCCCGAGTTTCCAAGATTTAGGCCAAGGTTGCTCAGCGACGAGGTGAGCAAGGGGTTGCTTAAGCCGGCTCCTTGGCTACCCAGGTTGCCAACCACAGCGGCCAGCAGGCTGGGATTGAGATTGTTCAAGTTCAATCCACCGGCACCAGAGTTGTTGCCCAGACTGGGCTTCTGTACCGGAGCCACGGGGGATGGCTGAACCGCTGAATTATTGCCGAACATCACACCGGTGAGGTTGTTCAATAGATTGGTCGCGTTGCTAACGGCGCTGCCGCCTCCGCCGCCAGCAGCCACTGCTCCAAGCTGACCACCTTGCTGGACACCGCCGAGCAGCTGGCCCTGGCTCTGACCTCCGTTGGGTAGATTGTGGGCCACGTCCTTCAGTGGCTCTCCGTTGGGTCCCAGGCCGATGCCCACGCCACCCAAACCCTCAGGGAGCTTCAGTCCCTCGTTCTTGTCCGGAATGCGGTCCAGACGCACGGTCATGCGTCGATCGAAGAGCATTTGGCGATCCAGCATAGATATGGCCTGCACAGCCTCAACAGGATGGTCGTATTCAATTACAGCAAAGCCACGACTATGGCCCTCCTTGTCCAGGGAAAGATCTACGCTTTGCACCTTTCCGGCCAGCTTGAATACCTGCTTGAGCTTCTTGTTATCCACCTTGTAGTCCAGCTGCAGGGAGTTGAAAAGAGCGAATTAGTGGGGGTGAAACTCCGATGGCTTTGCCACTGAAATGGTTTCGAGAGGTGGTGACCAGGCTGAATCGTCCCGCTGTCCTTCGGCAAAACCATGTTGCTTGCTAAGCTACGTTTGGCGATTGATGATGAGAATCCCAAACAGAATCAATCCATCGGCATGAGCAGAAACCGAAAACCATAGCCCAAGATGACGCCGACGTTCTAAAGCTGCAACTGCTTCATATTTATAACCCATTTCCCAGGAGTGGTAGTAGTAGTATTCGCGGATTCAACAGTTGTGGGAAGTGTAAAACGGTAAGGACACTGCAACCAACCAGATACAAAAGGGACGAGTCGGGAAACCATCAAAATTCGTTGTTGCCGAAGACGAGTAGGTATCAAAACCAAGTAAACCAAAGAAAATTAAAACGGATTAAGAGTGCTGATTTTGAACGTCACGCGGAGAAGGAACCCAATTCCGACGCGAAGCCACAACATTATTTACGAAGGATTGAGGCCTTATCTCTGGTCAAGTTTTATAATCATTACGAATTAACATGTCGTTTCATTTCTGTAAGCCTTAAAGGTTGCACACACACAAACGATATGTCAAAAGGAACCCAAAGGAAAAGGATTGCTGAGGATGAGGTCAATATTCCAACCAAGACTAGTAAACAGAGACAGAGAGAGAGAGCGTCCGAAGGGTGTGATCATCTATGTACCTGGGTTATAAATACGAAACAGAACCCCCATAAAAGTGTAAAACGCAACAGCATATTTGTACTTTGGTCCAGTCCAGTTGAATAGTATACATAGGATTATTTGGATTTTTATAAAACAATATACTCACATTAGCAACAAAAACCTTATTATGCAAAGGTCCACTTATGCCAAGACTCTCCAAAAACGAAGCGGAAAGCCCATACAAATTGTAATTCGACGAATTATTATAATCATTTGACATCATGTTAAAATTATTACGCCCAGATCTAGAAAAAGAGAATCCAAATTCCAGAGAAACAATAACAAATAGCAGAGGTGAGGTAAGCTTCAGCTACGACGGAGTAGGATGCCAAGAGAGCCGCAGGATCTACAGACTTCTTTTTACTTTCTGTTGAGGTGTTGACTCTCGCGCAGCACAAATCGAGCTAATTTTAAAATCAGTGTAAAGTGAGCTCCAGGTGAAAAGTTTACTACAAAATTCACATTCTGATCGCAGTTATATATCGTACATAGATTTTCCAGCATCCTAAATATAAATATTAGAAATATTCTTATCAAGCAACAAAAATCCTTTGATCGAAACTTGATCATATTAAAGCTTCAAAGTCGATTAGTTAGATCCAAAGACTGCTTAAAATCCAAAAAACGTAGTTCGCTGGTAAGAGCATTCATAGTCAATAACGCTTAGAGTTTAAAATTACTATGGAGAACTGGAAATGTCTATTAAAACAGCTTTTAAAATAAGAAATTTCACGTGTGCCTGGCTATCTTTATGTTTTACAATATCTTGGCTTCATTTAAAATGAATCATTTCCTAGCCAATAAATCCAAACACTTTGTAGGAAAATCTGCAGCCTAAGTACCAATAGGTTAGTTGCTTACAACTTTTAAAACTTTTGGAAGAAGATCCGTTTAGCTTCGATCACTAGCGCTTATAGTTAAAAATTATTAACTGCGAATGTATACTAAAACAGCAATTGAAATAAGAAACAAACATGTGTCTGGCTACCTCTTTTTGTTTTACAATCTTTTAGTCTTATTAAAAGTTAATCATCTCCTAGAGAATAAACACAAACACTTCCATGGAAAATCTGCAGCTTAAATAACAATTTGTTAGTTCCTTAAATGTTGTCTTAAATTAATCATCCGCATCAGTAAACTTTTGGAAGAAGAGCCGCTTAATTTCAATCACTTTAAAACTGAAACTCGACGTAAATGGTAATCCAATAAATTTAAAGAACTCGGCTCTAAGATGATAATTACATAACCGACCACTGCAAGCAGATTTTCACTCCTACATTCAACTCCTGATTATATTCCTGGCTTACAAAGATACGTATATGGTGAATTATTCCGTTTCATTCAAAAGAGCAAACGGTAGATACACATATTAATAAAAAACCACTGCCAGTTGAGAAGCTTGTGAAAATTGTGTGATATATGCGGCCTACGAACTCTGCTTTCCTGCTCCAACACATCAAAGAAGACACAATAAAGGCGTTAAAGCATACAGGTACTTACAATCTGTCATCGTCACGTCGGGAGAATCCACGATCGCGGTCGTCCATGTGGTCACGGCCACCGCCACCATTGCCGCCTCCACCACCACCGCCGCCGCCGCCACCGTTTCCTCCGCCTCCGCCGCCGGCGCCATCACGCACAATCCGGCCGTACTGGTCACGCTGCTCGCCATGATCCTCCTTTACGACCAGTTCTCGGCCGTTGACCTCGTAGCGGTTCATCTTCTCCATGGCCTTTTGCACATTCTCCGGATCCTTGAACTCAACAATCCCGCAGCCGCGCGCCTTGCCGCTCTCGTCGTGGAAGAGCTGCACATACTCGATGGAGCCGACGATGCGGCGGAACAGATCCTTCAGGTCTTGCCATCGGTAATCGTACGGAATGTTTGAGATGTACACCCGACAGTTGCGGCGCTCGCGGCTCCGGTCACGAATATTGTTGTTGCCGCCGCCTCCCCCTCCACCGCCGCCGTTGCCACCCAGGTTTCCACCGGCGTTTCCATTGCCGTCGGCGTCCGAGAATCTAGAGCCACGCGCCCCCCGCCCACGTCGATCGCGCTCCTTCTCACGGTTCTCCACAGCGATGCCCGCATCCATGTTCATCGTTGTCTGAAAGGGAATCGAATGCAAATGCACCGGAAATCCATGTAGAACGCACACAACTTTGTGTAGCGGCGTCGCGAAAACAAGATGGCGGACGCATCCAGAGTTTTTCGTTTTCGCACACCTCTGCCGGCTTTACTCACCTATTTGCTGATTGGCTTAGTTGACCGCGTTCCAGATCTATTCCACTATGTTTTAATTATGCAATACAGCTGTTTAAAAGTATTAAAATCTCGGAGATCAATAGAACGCAGTAGAATTTTTGCACAGCTATTGTCAGTGTGGCCAGATGAAGCTTGGCTTTCCCCTAAAAAATCTCAAAACCCAGAACATTTCTGTCGCGGCTTCTGGGCACACTAAAACACTGAAAGAAATAATCTTAGGTACATATTTAAGAGTATTTAAATAACAGATACATTTTTATGTAAATCATTTATTAAATTCAATTTATATTTTATATATTTTAATTTCCATAACTCTCTGGAATTGAATGGGGATTACAAATTGTCATAAATAATAATTTTATCGCCATAAGTTTGATTTCGTTTAATTGAAGGATATAAACGGATTTAAAAATATACTATTAGAGTTAAGTTAAAAACAATATTAAAAGATAGTTGGTAAATAGTACACACAATCGATTTATTTCGTTCCTTTTTGTATGGCAAAAATTAATACAAAAAATTAAATATTAAATGTATGTATGTATGTATAAAAAGCTTAAAGCAAACTATATAATGTAAATTTAATTGGCTGCTTGTTTTCTCTCTGATCTGTCAGTATGGTAAGTTGAAAGAAAGGCCTACCTCAAAAACTCATGCGAACTACAATTTCTGCATCTTAGCACCACTAAATCAGATTTTTTTGTGCGACAATCGCGGTGAGCTTATCGGTTGAATTGTTTGTTCTTTTCTATGATGAGTACTAATGGAATTCTGCTCGTGCGTGCGTGTGTGCAGGAAGAGAACGAGCCGACGACGACTCGTTACAAGTTGTAGCTTAGAACCAACCAATGGTGGTGATAAGGAGGCTCGGGATGAATATTTATCTGTTTACATTCGTTTATCTCGGGTTTAAGCACGGATTATCTTGCAAAGTACAAACAATGGATTGAGTTTAGGGCTGGTTTGAAAACAAATGGTTATAGCAGCTGAACCAAGGCAGTTACAACAGTATTCATAGTTTATATGTAGAGGTACATATTAATTTTCGATTTGCTTCGTTCGTTTTTGTTTGTTTGTTATTGTTAATACTCTTAAAAGGGCGCCACGCAACCTTTCAAACGACACAAAACACACACATTCACAAAATCATTTCGACGTACATAAAACTCTAGTTACTTAAATTAATTACAATTTCTTTCTTTTTATCTGACAATTGCACCGACTAACACTCTCCCACATCTGTGTGCTCGTGTGTGTGTGTGTGTGAGTTCGCTTCGTAAGTGTGCGTGGAGCAGAGAGTCCAAAATGGGCGAACATTTCGATCCCGAGACGATTCACGATCCGCGATCCGATCCGCCGCCACACATACAGACAAACAGGCGACATTTGAGGAAATAAAAAGTTAATAAAACCAATGCAAGGCCGTTTACAGCATTTTACATTTAAATCTACGATTCGGCTTGTTCATTTTGCGGCCCCTCCGTCCCTTGTTGTCCTTGTCTTTGCGGATCTCGCGCACCAGTGTGTAAAATGCATCGTCCACGCCCATGCGCGTCTTCGCGGATGTCTCAATGTATGGAATGCCGTATTGTTTGGCCACCTTGGAATAAAAAAAAAACAAAATTAAAGTTAAACTGGATAACTTAACTTGCCATTCCTCTACTCACCTCTCTTGCCTGCTCGTTGTTTACGTTCCACGAGGCCAGATCACATTTGTTGCCCACTAGCACCATGGGCACCTCCTCTGCGTCCTTAACCCGCTTGATCTGCTCGCGGTAGGTGCCGATGTCCTCGAAAGACTTTGCACTGTTCACGGCAAAGACCAGCAAGAAGCCCTCACCGGTGCGCATGTACTGATCCCGCATGGCGGAATACTCCTCTTGGCCGGCGGTGTCCAGGATATCCAGTAGGCAAGTCTCCCCATCTACGAGAGCAAACAGAGTCAAGGAATTCGCATATTTAAACGCTTAAGCGCAGAACTCACCTATAACCACTTGCTTGCGGTAGGAGTCCTCGATTGTGGGGTCGTACTCGTCCACGAAATGGTTCTGGATTAGCTGGATGGTCAGTGCCGATTTGCCCACGCCGCCGGCACCAACCACGACCAGTTTGTATTCCGTCATTTGGCGTTTGTTTTCGATTGGCCGTAGTCGCAGTCACAGTCGCAGTCTCTCTCGCGATCGAAGTTTCTCACTTGTATGAGCCCGCAGCTGCAGTCCCTCTCCGTGTCCGTGCCTTTATCAGTATATGGGTGTGTGTGTGTGTGTGTGAGTCGGGCTGCAAGTAGAGTAAATTATTAATTAAGATTGATTAAAATAAATTAAACGCATAATTAGGCACGAATTAATGCACTGAGTCACTTCGGATGGTGCTCACTCACACACGCGCACGCACGCACACAGGCCACAAAGAGATCAATGACTCAAAGTGCTGCAGGCCCCAGGCCCTGCTGTATGCATATTAATTCTTCCCGTCTCTTGCGCACAGTTTTCCACGGTTTAGTTATTGATTGACTTTATGGCAATTACGAATTGAGAGGCATTTAGCCGCTCCCAGTATTGCTTCTAGTGTTTTTCTTTCTTTTCTTTCGCCTGCCGGGGCTGCACAGATGCGGACCTTCTTTGTTGCTGCCTTCTCGGCTAGCTCCTCCTTGTTTTTCCGCTCCTCTCTCCCTCTAGCTACACGCCGCAGTTGCTGGGCACTTTTCACTTTCGCGATTATCAGTTCGACAGGTGCAACGGCGGACAAGTGCACGACTCGTAATTAGTGCACTGTAATTGCAATAACAATTCGCGGAGGAAAACAATAAATTCGTATCTAAATTTCTGCAGGTGCTTCTTCTTCTACTTTGTCGCCATTTTGCTTTGGCCAGTGCTGCCAGATGCGGGTTGGGCTTTCCCCTAAAAAATCCCGCAGTTTTAAATTTCCCTTATGAACGCGCGATCTGGCACTTTTGGTCGCTCGCGCACGCAAAGTCTGGCAGCACTGGATCACCAGTGAACGAGCGGTCAGCGTTGCCAGACTGTTTTAGTACTAAAAATACTGTTCAACAGCATGGTAGAGCTGGTAGTTTTTCGATACATCGCCGATGTTTTTCCAAGTCTACAGCATGGACAAATTGAAATTTAACAACTTGGTAAATAAAGGCGTTTTATTTGATAACTGGCTGCTAAATCATAAGTATTCCAACAGGTGATATCCAACAAGAAGCTGATCCAGAAGGCACGTGCCCAGACCATCGCCAAACTCGTCCAAAAGTTGAGAAAGTCAAAGGATGGCCTGGCCAAGAATCCGGACAGCGAAAAGGAGAAGATTCGTCTGCGGAAGAACAGCGAGTGCCTGGCCCAGCTGAAAACATTAAAGTGCTTGGACATCGTTCGGCAATCTCTGCTCCAGGAAGGCACTAATCCCAATGCAGTGATTGCCAGCGAACGCTCCACTCCGGACGAACTAGGCATCGCCATGCTGCGGCTGAACAAAATCATGCATGGATTGGTGGACACGTTTGTGGAGACCCTGAAGCTGACCACCGACAAGGAGGCCAAGTGGCGGGAGGAGATACTGGAGACCAGCAAGCGACGGTTTAAGATCGAGCGAACTGAGGAGAAGAAGAGGAAACGTAAGGAGCTGAAGGACCAAAAGGCGCAGACAAGGAATCGATTGGAGTGGTTGGAGCAGAATAAAGTGGTCGGAGCTGAGAGCACGGAGACTAAAGAAGCTTCCGAAGCCGGCCAAGTGATGACCGAAGAGGAAAACCCATCTGCAATCCAACCAGAGAAGCAGCAGGAAGAAGTTAGTAAAAAGGATAAGCCCACGCCAGCTACAAAGCCAGAGAAGCCGCAACCCAAAAAGAAAAACAAAAACGAGCCCAGACCTCTTAACAAAACAGTAAAACCCCAACGACTTCCACAAAAAGAATTGGTAAACGAAAGCAAGCAAAACCAGCAAAACTTCCAGGAGAAACAAACTCTGCGAGAAATCAAGCCAAAGGAAAGAAAGCAAAATCCTAGTGAGCTTAAAGAAAGGAAACCTAAATCGCGACCAGAAAGAAAGCAAAGCATTGAAGAAGATTCAAAGCCAGACAAAGATCGTCCCACACACGTTGTTGATCCATTTTTCATAACTGAATCTGGGCAGCCATATTTGTCCACCGCTGTGGTTCTTTCGGAGGACAACGAGAGCGAGGCTGAGGAGGAGCAGAGGCCGCCACCAGTCAAACGGTACCGAAGCGACGACCAACGGGCTAGTAATTATCGGGAAAGGCCCGAGAGACAGCCAGGATTTGGCACAAAAAAAGCACACGATGATCGCCATCCCTCCTGGGTAGCCAAGCAGCAAAAGAAACCCGTTATAGGCGACTTCAGGGGTAAAAAGATCACCTTCAGTGAGGATGGGCAGGCGGCAGAGATTAGGGCTCCTAAGATTACTCCTGCTCCCTCGGCTGCCGCTCCCGCATCGACCGAAGGCATGCACCCCTCTTGGGTGGCCAAGCAGAAGTGGAAGCCCAAAATCGCCGACTTCCAGGGTACCAAAATTAAGTTTGACGAGGATTAGCAATAAACAAGTTGATATTATTTGATGGTTTAATTACTAAATAACTGCAATGTTTTCGACCTAAACGTCCACCTTGGGCACATAGTGACCCCGCGCCTTATCCTCGTTTCGCAGCTTGTCCACATTCACATCGGGGAACTTGCGCCGCAGAACATCCAGGTCAAAGTTGGGATTGCGGCGGAGGATCATCATTACCTCGTTGCGAGAACGGCTGTAAAATAGGGTAATTATAAATAGGAAATTGTGGCAACGTCTCTAAAGAACTCACTTCTTGGCCTTGCGCTTGGCGTTGTACAGCTGCTCCCTGTACTTCAGCAGGAACCTGTTCACGGCCCTGCCGCCAAAGCCAATGTTGCGGGACTTGATCCATTTGAGGTTCATGAAGGGCGGCAGAACGTGTTCGCACATTTTATAGTTGACCTGAAGACCGAAGGCATTCTTTACCGCCTTCTGTGGACGCTCTCCCGTCTCTCCTGTCTCCAGAAGGTGATACGCCTTGTTGCGCTCTCGCACTACCGTCTCTAGGTTCTCCATGGAAATCTTCACCTGCGAGTAGGGGTTATGCATGGCGTCGAGTTCTACTAATCGGTTTGTTTGTTACCTTGTCGACGCGCTCGGGATTGGGGAAGATTTCCATTTTGTCGTTGCACTCGTGCTCCATGGTCATCAGCATGTTTCGCTCCTTCAGGAGTACGAACCAGAGCTGGTGAAGCTCCTTGTTGGACTTGATGCGCAGCTCATCTGTCCGCCAGGCGCGGCCCACCTTCACCTCGTTCTCGCTCCAGTGCTTCTTGTCATCGAAGAACTCCATGAGATCTCGGCGAGCGGGTGAAGTGTGCAGTTGAGCATGCGGCGTCTGCAGAGCGGCCGCACTTATTATATAAAAACAAATAGGCAAAGAGTCAAAATTCTGAGTGAAGATCGCGTTTATTCGAGGGCACTCACCTCCAGGCTTGCCATTGCTGCTGCGGTGATGTCAGAAAGCCTTTCACCGTCGCTGCTCGCACAGTTTTCGCCAAATTAAAACATTTAATTAACGTCGAAGACATTTTACCAACAGCTGCGCGACTAAACAGTGTGGCCAGGTGGGATAAACCAAATGAACATTAAAAGAGCCAAACTAGTAAAAGGAAAAATAATTTTCTTAAACCTGTTTTTTAATGTTAATTAAAATCTATAGCATTACTTTTGAGAATTGGCGATATTTTGCAATGCTAGTTTAATTTCCGGTATTTCAGTTTGGTATTAGTTTTCAGTATTTAAGCGTTTCTCATTTGATGTTTACCAACACTGTGGGTGGTTTATTCTGAACGTCCGGCCGCGGTCACACAGTTCTGGCGAGTTGCTAATGAAAAATCGAATTTTTCCTAACCGAAATACACGGGCCGCGTACTATTAAAGTCGACATTCGAGGCAGTTGCACAACATGCAATAAGAAAATGTAAGTGGCACTCCTGCAAAAGTCCTACACTGCTGGTAAAGAGCTGGCTTGTTTGTTCTGCCCTCTTGGTATGCAGGAACGCCAAGTTTTCTGTGTGGGTGTGAGTGCGAGTGTGTGTGTGCGTGTGATGGTGTTTGTAGCATTCAGTACACAAATTTAAATTGATAAAACTCGACAAAGGCAGTAGTGGTTCTAAATTGCATCTAGTGCATTTTCTGACCTGCCAAGTGCTTATTAATTGTGCATTTATCACAGCAAATTCCCGCAATTTGCACCTCTAAACGAGAGGGCGAAAACAGATTCATTGAACGAAAAGAACAGAGGGGGGAAAACAAATCTGGAGCGATGTAGTAATAGGACAGTGTTGCCGAGCTGCTTGCTGCATCCGAAAGCCAGCAGCAGGCCATGATTTATCTGTCGGCGTTATCAGAGTGTTTGAGCGCTGCTCAAAAGAAGTATTTACTCGGGCGTTGCGCTGCTTACTGAAACTTATATAAAATGCAGGCCTTCATTGAATTAAAAGGTCACAGAGAACGAGAGAGCCAGTGAATTGATTGATCAATTTGGCGGAGGGGAGGAGTCGTTTGTGTGGGGTTTTCGTCCAGCTCTTCTGCCGCCTTTCGTGTTTTTCTCATTTCTCTCTCTCGCCGCATTTCGTAAGACTTCAGCGGTGAACGCCCAAAAACACAAACAAGTCGTTATGTTTGTAAGCCTGTCCGCCATCCGTGTGCTTCGTTGTTGTTTGTTCTTCTGCCTTTTTAGTGGTAATGGTGGCGGTGGCTACCAGGGGTTAATTTCTAGGTGTCGCCTCAATTATCTGGCTTCTGCATTGTCCGCCGTTTTGCGTATGGATCCATGCCGGATGGACGATAACTTGGCGACACTTGTTGCCCCTGTTAAGCAATGTGTCTTTAAACTTGGGATTAACAGATCTGTTAAACTGCAAAGTGCACTGCTCAAAATGGTATTTGTATATTTCCAAGTTTTATAAGGGGTCACAATACAACACAATTGTTTAATTTAAACCAAAATAATTCAATGTACTAATTTGTGGGATAAATATATATTATAAAATTTGATAAGGGGTTACATCTTAAAATTGTCGAAAATAGCGCAAATTTTTAATTTTTTAAATAAAGGTTTTGTACATTTTTAAAACATCACAGTATTTACAAAAAAAGGAAAAGGTAATTTTTCGGAGATTTAATTTTTTATATTATTATTTGTATAACAGCTTTCACTTAACCTAATTTACAACGATTTGTTGAAGTTTGAATCTGATATGTTATTACTTAACATTTTTGTATTCTATTTTGTTAGATACAGTGAGTCACAAAAGTATTCGTTGCAAGGTACCCGACGAATAATTATGTTATTTTTTTAATGATTAAGTATCAAATTTATCACTTTAGTTTTTTTTTATGTTACTCAGATATTAAACAATAGGATAACAACAAAAAGTTGTTAAAAAACTAGCTTCATTGCTGTTTTTTTCTAAGAAATTCATTTGAACTACAAAATTTCATGTCACAAAAGTATTCGTTTTTTTGTTTCGCCATTAAATATTTATTATTTTTTTATTGTGTTATATATTATGTGCAATCCTTTGTTTTATTTAATAGCTTATAATCGTCCTTGCATTGGCTCTACCCATTTTGGGCACCTCTTTCAGGATATATTCGACCATTTCTTCCGCATTATATCATTAAGTTCCTTTTTCGGCAGAAATCCGCTGTTCCTGGAATTTTAGCTTAAGATGGTGTCATAGATTTTCAGTAGGGCTAACGTCTGGGCTCTGTGAAGGAGTTTTAGTCTGGTTTCAATAGTACAACACCCACATCTTGACTTTAAAAGTCGTTTGTTCGGCGCTATTGTACTGGTGGAAATTGAACTTGTCGGGTTCTGGACATATTAGGGTGTCACTAGAGTGTAGAATACACCTTAACATATTTAAATATATATCAGCAATTATTATCCTGTCTAAAAAAAAACATATTTCCAACTCCTGGGGCAGACAGACACCCTAAACTAGAGCAGAAACTCTGACGTGCTTTACTGTTGCTGTATCATTTTTTAACTTGAGGGTTTTTCCGGGCTTGCGGCAAACTATCCCTTCTCAATCCGATCCCTAAACATTGAAAACCTTTTTTTACTTAATATTACTTGCCCTGAATACTCTAAAATTTGGTTCAAAAACGCTATATCAAAGAAAATAGCTTCGGCATATTGATAGGTGAAAACAAGGATTTTATTTTAGGGCTTCTACCATCCTCATCATGGCTTCTAGGAACTGTTCCGATAGTTTAAGTGGATACATTTGTTCCTTAGGATGTGGTCATGGCGGTGTTAATTTTTGCAGCCTATAAATGTATGCCTTTCCTGATTTTTTTTAAGAATTGTTCTATCTTCTCTGATTTTCAATTACTATATTCGGCCAAAACGCGGCTTATTTTCCAGGAAATTTCTTGATTTCAGAAGAAAAACCACGCTTATTATGGTAAGAGGACTATTATCAAACATACCAGAAATATATTTAAAGGATCAACCCTCATTGTGTAGGTGTAAAGTAATTTTCTTCTGGAAAATGTTTTGACTCCGTACTATTCGCCATTTTGTAATTGATTACGACCCACAATGACGCTTAAATATAGTGTTTTTCCATGAATTAAATTTTAAAATGTATTCCCAACCAGAATACTGAAAAAAATTGCACTAACCCATGAAAAAAAAGAAAAAATATTTTAAAAAAAATCTCAGAAACGAATACTTTTGTGAGCATAAAAATCGATTTAGTTTTATATATTTGTCTGTAGCTTGTTATTGAAAAGGTTTTCTCAAAGTTTTTTTTTGTCATATGCTAACAAAATATACATCTTTGGGATAGTAATCCATTTTTTCACATTTTAAAGCTTTTAGCTACTGAAAATTGACATTTTCCTCAAGACCTCCTTTGCAACGAATACTTTTGTGACTCACTGTATGTGTTTACCCTGCCCTTTCTTATCCCTTTATTATCAGTTTTAGAGAGCCTTCTATCATTATTTTTTTTTTCAAACTGAATTAATTATCGCGCTCTTCATAGAAATAGCAACAAATATCTGAATATTAGGCCCTAACAACCTATACAGCAGATCAAACAGTCTCAGGGAGTATAACATACAAGGCTCCGACCTTATCAAAGCACACTATCACTTAGTTCGCAACGCCCACATTATGACGATATTGTGTGGAATTTTTTTCGTACGAATTATGTTTATCTTGAAGTTTGCCACAGTAGAGGTCTTAATATAATAGTAATCGTTCAAGCAAACATTTTTTTTCCAGCCATTGTGGCTGTTTTCCTGATTTTTGAGTAAAAATATAATAATAACTATGACTAATGGTTACTCTAAATCAAAGTACATTATAAAATGACGAAGTTAACGTTACTTTACTATAGCTTACATAATTTTCTATCTAAATTGAACTCACTTGCCTCTGAATAAGAGGTTTCTCAGTTAAATTAAATACAAATGGGCCTGTAAGACCCCATATTAAGCAAATCATTTTGTTTAGTACGTTATCTTTGATTTAAGTTAG